GATGCCTATGTTCTATTAAGTGAAAAGAAAATTTCTAGTGTCCAGTCAATCGTACCTGCTCTTGAAATTGCCAATGCTCACCGTAAGCCCTTGGTCATAGTTGCTGAAGATGTTGATGGAGAAGCTCTAAGCACACTTGTTTTGAATAGGTAATGAGCAGTAATATTTGATGGTTTATATTTCTGGGTAAAAAACAGAATTTATATCAATATTTTCAGTCTCCACTATGTACCCTTACAGTTGATCCACTTATGTCTTATCTAGAATATTATAGTATAAACGTGTTGTACATGTCATCATGATTCTCAATCTTGAATGGGGCCCCAAAATCTTTACTAATTTGTGCAACTTTCTCATAAGATAGGCTAACTTAATATGTGGGTACCCTTATATTTCTTACAAGTGCTTATAATAGTTGTTTTGAAGGTACATGACTAATTTATGATCTTGATGTTCTTGGGTGCATGTAAATAAGATTTTTCTGGTAAAAATACTTGAATATAGTTTTGCTTAGAACGTGAATAAATAACTACTGTTGTTAAAACCCCACATCTAAGTATATTTAACAATTGGGTGTTTCTCATAGTTGATTAAATGTTTACCAAATAGTCTGAAATAGAGAAAATAGCACTCAAAAAAGTGAAATCTATTTGTTTTACTTAAATCTACTTTTTTTTTTGAGACAGAGTCACCTTGTGTAGAGTGCTGTAGCATCATAGCTCACAGCAACCTCAAACTCCTGGGCTCAAGCAATTCTCTTGCCTCAGCCTCCCAAGTAGCTGGGACTACAGAGGCCCGCCACAGCACTTGGCTATTTTTTGGTTGTAGTTGTCATTGTTGTTTGGCAGGCCCGGGCTGGGTTCTAACCCACAAGCTCAGGTGTATGTACCTTGCGCCCTAGCCGCTGAGCTACAGGTGCTGAGCCTAAATCTACATTTTAATCTATACTTTAATTTTAGTTTAAACTTCTAAGACAGGCAGTGTTCATAGGTAAATGGTGATCTTTAGGGATTATCAGAGGCAGGACTTTACAATTTTGTTATAGTGGAAATGTACGGATGAAAACGGCAAATATATTTAAGGTAATTGGATATGGACAAGTATAGATGAATAGAAAACAGCCATAAGTGTCTCAGATCTTTTCTATCTTAATTTGATCAAAAGTTGTTAGGAAGCAAAAGAGAAAAGGGGTGGGGATCCTAAGTAATCATAGTCATACCAGAACTTGTGGGAATTGATTAGAAAGATATTTTTATTAAATTTAAATCTTACCAACTCTTCTTAACAGGCTAAAAGTTGGTCTTCAAGTTGTAGCAGTCAAAGCTCCAGGTTTTGGTGATAATAGAAAGAACCAGCTTAAAGATATGGCTATTGCTACTGGTGGTGCAGTAAGTAAAATAAATGTTGTTAAAAAAAAAAACTGTTGTGATATTGGTTTGTTGAATATTGTTTATACTCCAGGCCTAAATTTTACAGGTAGAATTTTTGTTTTTTTACAATCAGGTACTACTACCATCTGTTTATATCAGGTATTTGGGAAATGTAGGTTAGATTAAGGTCTCTTTCATCTCTAACTTGCTATGAATGTGGCCTAAGACTAGACTTAGTGGGCGGAGCCTGTGGCTCAGTGAGTAGGGTGCTGGCCCCATATAACGAGGGTGGTGGGTTCGAACCTGGTCCTGGCTAAACTGCAATAAAAAAAATAGCCAGGCATTGTGGCCGGCGTCTGTAGTCCCAGCTACTTGGGAAGCTGAGGCAAGAGAATCACCTAAGCCCAAGAGCTGGAGGTTGCTATGAGCTGTGACGCCATGGCACTCTACTGAGGGTGACAAAGTGAGACTCTGTAAAAAAAACAAAAGACTTATTAAATATATTTCCAGTTTTGAAAGAGAATATATAAGAAAATATATGACTTTAAAAAGTTTAGCCCTTTAGTCTAGTCCTAGTGCTACCAGTAAGTGTGACCTTAGGTGCTTTCTTAAGTAAGAGCAATACTAACAGAGTTGGCAATGTAATGAAAGACTGCATTCATTCTGAGTAACTAGAATCTTAAAATCACTCATTTTAAAGAAAACATATTTTATTATGTTTCTCTTGTCAAAACACCTGCATAATGTATTAATAAACTTGGTTTAATGAAAGAAACTGTAACCCACCCCTGGTTCACTTTTAAATGTTTTTGCAGGTGTTCGGAGAAGAGGGGTTGACCCTAAATCTTGAAGATGTTCAGCCTCATGACTTAGGAAAAATTGGAGAGGTCATTGTGACCAAAGATGATACCATGCTCTTGAAAGGAAAAGGTG